CTATTCCACTGCTGGGGATCTTCCCCAAAGAATTAAAAGAATCATACCACAGTGATATATGTGCACCCATGTTCATAGCAGCACATTTTGTGATAACTAAAATTTGAAAACAGCCCAAATGCCCATCAGCTGGAGACTGGATAAAGAGAATGTGTTTTTTGTTATAAAGTGGAGTACTACTCAGCCATAAAAAACGAGAAATTAGAGACATTTATTGCTAAGTGGTTGCACATTGAGGCGATACTCTTAAGTGAAATAAATAGGACACACATGTATAAGAATCTCACAGTCTCATAAGTCTCTGTTTCTTCTAAACCGTGGTCCTAGTTCCTGCATTTCCCTATCAGCTCTCACTCAACACATCTCATCTGCAGACTTGCTAGTTAAATGTCTTGGAAGGACATCCTCTCGATACTGTCCTCAGCAACTGCCTGACTCTTGCGAAGGTCTTGATGCGGCTCAGGCCCTCTGCTGTTTTCTTATGGCTACAGTTGTCTCTGAAGCCAGCATGATAAAGTCTGCGTCCCTATGTGATTTGGTTCAAGGAAACTTGGGTGCCCAGCGGTGGGATGGCATTTGGTATGCTGCAAACTCTTTATCAGTAATCTCTCTAGCCATGTGTAATCCTTCATGCTTCATTTCTCTAGCCTGTATGTGAAATAGGGATAAAAATAGCACCTACCTCAAAGGGCTTTGAAGATTTTCCATTTTTGTGTTTCTATGTGTGGAGCTCAGTAGTGTCAAATGAGTTAAGAAATTAAAAACAATCAATCAAAAAATTCATGTGCTAGAGTGAGAAGAGCTTCGGACTAGAAAGTGAGCTCTAGGATCTATTAGACATGTTTTGGGGCCAGGATGACACCATTGTGCCACATGCTTGTCATTCCTGATAGAGACCTTAGTAAGCTAGCCCTAGACACAATTTTAAATGTGGTAGATTTACAATTACTCCTTAATCACTACTCTTCCCTTCCTATAGGTAAGTCCAAAATGTGGGCCGGGGATTTAGCTCAGTGGCACCTAGCCTGCCTTGCAAGCACAAGGTCCCTGAGTTCGATCCCTGGTAAAAAAAAAAAAAAAGTAAGAAAAGTCCAAAATCTATTCTCTTGGTGGTAAAATATATACATTTATTTAAATATACATATGCAAAAATTTTAAATTGAGAACCTAGTTTGTTCAAGGCAGATGCTGCATGCTGGGAAACAGATAAAGAAGCTAAGATGGCCACTGGCCAAATGAAGTTTGGATTCTGGTTGATAAAAGAGATATCACACAGATAATTGTGTATTTACTTGTTTAATTACAACTGTGAAGAATACTTTGAGGAAAAAATAATGTGTACCAGGACTCACATCCTAATCCTGTGGGTCAGGGATACTGAAGTGAAAGAAATGATATGCAAGCCAGAGAAATGAGGACTTGGAGGACCTGGTTTAGCCAAGGGCTTGGCCTCGAGGAAGGGAAAGGGCATCACAGACTGAGGCAGCAGCATGCACAAGGGCTTTGGGTTCATTTTGTACCTGTTGGATCCCAAAAAGAATAAGAATTAATATCTTCTTTTAAAACTAAAGGGTAATCATTAGCAGACACTTTAACTAATCAGCTGCTTGGTCGAGGGCAGACTGTATTGGTGTTGTGGCATTATCCCAACACCCTGTAATATCAGTATAAAACATGGAGAATATTTCTGATGGAGGCATCATAAAATTTCATGGAGAAAATTAAACTACAGTTTTATGGACTAGTTTGGGCTTTAGGAGACATAAATAAACTAGGGGAAAACATAGATGAAATAAACGTGACTAAATTTCATAAAGTGTGATAATGCCTTTTCTTATATTCAAGATTAATACTAACATCTTACATTTAGTGAGCATTTACCATATGTCAATCACTGATCTAAACACTTTACATGTTTTATTTCATTATCTTGACAACACATTTCTGAAGTGACTATCATCACTTTCCCTCTTTTGTGGATGGACTAGTTAAGATTCAGAAAATTTGAGAGCCATGTCCAAGGTCACATGGCAGCTAAGTGGTAGGACTCAGTCAAACTGAGATCCCATCTAATGCTACAGAGCTCCTAGCTAATTAGCTATATTGCTGCTTTACCATCCTCCCATAACAGTAGATAGAAGAACATATTTTATTGATGTTTCAAACTGCAATTTGTTGATTACTGTTAAAGTTGATCATTTTTATATGTTTGTTTAAAAACCTATATTTTCTTCGTACGTTATTTGTTCATAAGCAACTTTATAAAGTAGTGGGGGCAATTCTGAAAAAAATAAAGCTATAAATTTTTGGTACTCACAAATCAGTAGAATTAGTTTTTTTTTTTTAAGGTCCCTTCCCAGACCTCTGGAAAATACACCATGAAATCTGCTGCCAGAATCATTTAAAAATAAAGTTATCCTGTCTTTTATAAGCTGTTTTTATTCTTAAATAAAAAAATGATGCAATTGTCCCATACAAAATAAGTGAGGTTTTACTTGAACAAAAATCTGTTTGGAACTGTTAAGCTGGTTACATAGAACTAATATGCCTCAAGGTGGTCATTCTCTCTGGATTAAAGCTATCGAACAATTGTGGCTCCTGTTACAAGGAAAATTACAATGGACCATTATGAAAAGGAACAAAAATCTCTGTTCCCAGAGGGGGACTGACAAGCTGAAAGTCCCCCTCTACAAGCCAACACAAAAGCCTGATTGCCTCAGATTGTTTGTTTATGTAAATCAAAAGGGTAACTTTAATTCTGTAAGTGGGACTGCCCAGCACCAAGGGAGGAGGTGATTGGCTGAATTCTTGCTCATGAACTTGAGGCAAATCTGACAAATCCTGTTGCATTTATCCTCAACTCTGTCTGGACATGGTTAGGAAATAAATCTGGTTATTATGTACCAGAGTGAATAGTCTGCATTTTTAGAGTAATAGTTGGAACTACAGGACTCAAAGGCAAGAGAAGTCATCTTACCAAGGATCTTCTCACTCAGTTTTCCCAAAGTTCTCTCTCTCCAGATCGGACCCCAGTGTACATCATGACAGATATTCCCAAAACATTTAGTGGGGCTGAGTACAATGGGGATAGCCCACTGGAAAATGATCAACAAACTATCACAAAGATTAATGATGACACAACTGATGTGGATGAGACCCCACCATACCACAGGGCTGAGCCCAGTCGTGAAGGTTCACCCACCAAAGGAACCCAGGAAGAAAGTGGAAAATCACAAGGAAACATGCTCCTCACCTCGTCCATGGATGAGAAGTCCTTGAAAGGTAGTGTATTTCCTTTTCTCTGCGCTTTGCTTGTTTTGATTTATGAACACATTTGAAACTTTATCTTTTATCCTTTCTTCTTCTTGGATAAGCCGTTATGACAAGAATAAATGGGATGCCCAAGAAATGTAGCTCTTTATTCTGCTTGGGCTGCATCACATAAGGACTAAGCCTTTGCCTCTGGCAAATCCAGCCTTGTCTGTTTGATAGGTGTGTGATCCTAGAAAATTTTCCTTAAGCCCGAGGGGATTTTTTTATTAGAAAAAAGGAGAATAACAGTAACTACATTTGTGGGATGATGGGAAGAATTATTAAATGTTGATTAAATATTAAGTATAGTTGATTATTATTATAAACATCCCCATTAGTATTTGAAAAAAGAGAATTCAGAATCCCTTGCATATACCTGAAGATGTCTGTATCCACAGTTCTATACTCTATATAAATATTAAGGGAAGATAATCAATAAAGACATTATTCATTAAATAAACTGAATAAAGGAATCAAAATTCAAATAGTAATTTTAATCACAATTAAAATTAATCTCCCTAGAGTCTAAATTGACAAATTTTTAATCCTTGACCTATGTATATTTTAAATGTTGTGATACTTATATTTTTTCCCAGAAAACCCAGAAGAGAACCTCTTTATTGTTCATAAGGCTATCGCAGATCTTTCTCTTCCAGAAACAAGAGCTGATGAAATGACATTCAGAGAAGGTAACAGGAACTATAGCTTTCTACACAGAAATTGTTTGACTGTGTATGAAGACAGTCTGTATGAAATGTTGTGTGAGTGTGGTGTGTTGGGAAAGCAATCTAGGCAATAGCTTCAAAATCTCAAAGCTGTTATAGGCAGATAAGAGAATCTTGACTTATCTGCTGGTTCCCACCTCAGAAAACATTCCAGATGGCTCACAACTGAAATGGAATGAGTTGGTATAGCTGATTGGCATACCAATGTAATATCTGTCTTTTATTAAGTTAGCCCACTAAATCAACCTTTCTTTTTTGATTTGGTGTCTCTAAATCTGTGTCAGTCACCTTGTTAAATGTAAATGCTTTAAAACCAGATTTAGCCTGAAAGTCTACTATTAGCCCACAGTTTAGAATAATTCTATAAACAGATTTACTCTATAGGAAACTTCTAGGCTCCTGATATAAATACAAAATGGTTAACTATTTCTTGTCAAAGAAAGATCCCCCAATGATGAAGTAAATTTTAATTTTGTTCTTTAAGGAAATGGGAGAATAAAAAAAGACATTGAGATGGCTGTATTAAATTTCAAAAAAACTCAGTAAACAGACAAAAAAAATCCTGTAGACATTTCTTCTAAGAAGACACTATATCCAAGAAGTTTCCAAATAAAGAGCAGGATAAAAATCTATTAATTAATCATTCATTTCCTTTTCTGCAGCTGTAAACATTGTATCACAAAATTGAAGTCAGCTTGTTAGATCTAACCAATTTAGCTTACTTAGGACCTGAAGGCAAAGACATTAAAGCATTAACTGGTTGAAATATTAAAGCATAATATAAAATAGTAAATGTTAAGGAGGACAGTAAGGTGATTGGCAGTTTCCTAGATCTGCTTCTTTTGCCTGGCTAACTCTGTTCTCTGACCAACGCAGACAGAGTTACTTCAGGAAAAATTGAGCAAGCAAAAAACATTGTCAAGTTACTACATTCCCAGAGATAGTTTATAAACTGAAGGCCCCCTGAAATGAACTAAATAACTTCTTTGCCCTAATCTTTCTGCTTCCAAAGTAGTGAATCTTCCAAGGCAGAGATCGTAGTCTTTATTTAGAGCCTTTTTCAAATTTCTTATCTAGGGATAGGTTTCTATGTGCTCCCATTTTGATCAAATGGAGAATGAAAGCAGTCTCTATTTTAAAGCTAGCTGGTCTTACCAGCAAATTCGTCTCCGAATGAACCCTTTCATGTTTGATGGAGCATGTGGTCTTCCTCTATGATAGAGGCACAGATTTTGATGTCTCTTATTTTCATGGTGGTAAAACAGCTATAAAATCTGTGAGGAGAATGCTCCTGGACTGAAAAATATAAAGCTGCTAAAAATATGAAGAAAAGCTATAATTTAAATTCAAGAATTCAAGAAGTAATTTCATTCATGACAATCCCATGCCTGAGTTATGAATATGAGCAAAAAGATCAGTTTCTTTTGTTCTTCTGGAAAAACAAAACAAACAAAGCTTAATATTATAGCTAACATTCTAATGTGTATTTATGTGTAAAGAATATTGACTAGACACCAATGAGCTTATAGCAGCTATAGACAACTAGTGGGGCAATAATACATCTTCACTTCTATCTCTCTGTAAATTTAAAATCTGATTTCTAGCTGAGCCTGGTGGTACACACCTGTAATCCCAGCACTTGGGAGTCTGAGGCCGAAGGATCACAGAAAGTTTGAGGCCAACCTGAGCTATATTAGTGAGTTCAAGGCCAGCCTAAACTGCATAGCAAAACTGTGTCTCAAAAAGCCAAAAAAGGCCCGGGGACTTAGCCCAGTGGCACCACGCCTGCCTCAAAAGTGCAAGGTCCCGAGTTCGATCCCTCGTACACACACACACAAAAAAATTCTAGACCAAGAAAAGAAAAAGACAAACAAAAAATAGAACTAAAAACCTTGGATGAAAATGGAATTGTACTCACATCTTTTGGGAAGAATAGAAAATTGTGAAGCAGAAGGACAAAGGCTTGTGCTGTTGAAAGGAAATAGAGAAACCAAGTCTGGCAAGGGTCCACAACCGAGACATTCCTGGGCTATGCACACTATTGCCTGGGGCTTCTTACAGAAACTTTTTAGGGGGGAAAGCTCAAGAACTGCCTTTGCACCTTTACTTGCTCAGTAAACATTGGTGAAGGTGTGCTTGATAGGACCTGCATGGGTCGAGGGCAGTGCATTAAGCCTTTCTAAAAGTCCTTACATGGCACCAAATAACTGTGACAATTAGTTGTCATTCATAACATGACTAAAACAGTAGGCTAATCTAGTATTAAGGTGTGACCTCAATGTGATTTCTGAATCTGGGCTCTCTAGAGATGGGTGGGAGATCTTAAGCATGTTATGTTTGCCTCAGTGGGCTTGGGCCTCAGTTGGCAGCACATGAATCCTGATGATCTCTGGGTGCTGCTCTTTCTTTTTTGCCTGATTAGGACAATTTAGGGCAATTCTGAGAAGCAAGGAGTTAAACGCCCACTTTGCTCCTGAGTGTGACCAGATATGGGGTGTCACTCTTTCCTTGAGAGGTATGTCTGTAGGTATGAGCTAGGTCAATCATTTTGTTTCATTTATTCACATATCCAGTTTGTGATTGGTTAGATAAGATTTTTAAGTATGTCTCAGGGAAATATAATCTCACCTAATAAGGTTGCCCACAAGTTTAGGTTGCTAACTTCTCTGAGATTTACACTATTTGTTAGTACTTTAAAGGCTTGGATAAATTTTGAAGAAGCTGCAAACTAATTTGACTGTGAAGCATGTTTAATTGTGTAGAATATCTTAGTAGCTCAGAATCATATGCCATAAAACATGTTAGGAAATGATTGTCCAGAAAAACAATTTAGAGAATCACAATGGCAGCTAGGTATTTTGCAACTTCTACACATATCAACTACCAATTGATTTTGCTACAGGACATCAGTGGGAGAAGATTCCTTTGCACAGCACTGGTAACCAGGAGATAAGGAAACCCTCGGACAGGATTATGGAACAACTTCTAGAGGAGACAGATGAGGAGAGTAAGAGCAAAGCTCACCCAGCAACAGAAATTGAATGGTTGGGATTTCAGAGACCTAGCCAAGTTGTTGTATTGCATTCTAAACAGGAGGAGGAGCAAGAAGTTTGGGATGAAGAAACTAATGATGATGACATCTGTGATGATGAAGATGAAGTCCGGGTGATAGAATTTAAGAAAAAGCATGAAGAGGGCCCTCAGTTCAAAGAAGATGATGCGAGTGAGGACTCTCCACTAAGAGGCCCCAGTTCACAACCTGTGACACCCGATGAGCCGCCAGCATTAGGGAAGAAGGGTGATATCACTAGAAATGCTTTTTCAAGATATAATACAATATCCTATCGGAAAATCAGGAAAGGGAACACCAAGCAAAGAATTGATGAATTTGAGTCTATGATGCATTTATAAACTAATTGGAACTGAGAAATTCTCCTGCTTGCTAAAACAAAAGCTAATTTTATCCTGAAGCGAATCTTTCTATATCTTACTTGAATTAGCCCCTTGAAAGATATGCAACCTTGAAGTTCCCCCCTGCCCCACCACCCTACTGGAGAATCATGTGGAAATAACCTTAGACAGAGTTCAACCTGGTCACTTCAAATAAAAAAACTTTAGATTAATTCTTGGGCATTTGCTTTTAAAACTTCACTAATATTGTGTTAGTGTCATAAACACTAAAGAGACAGCCCCACTAGGATATCTTGCACAGTGTGGCTTAAAAAGCAGTACTCAAATGAAAGAGGTGACTGTGTGAAATGACTTGTTTTTTTGGTGTCTTTCTTACTGCATATTGAGGTGATGAAAAGCCTGGCATTAAGTCTCTCTTACTTTTAAACATGGGGGTATGTACTCTGCAAATAAACTTACAGAACTTTGTGCCTTTCATTTTATCCTCTGGAAACATTCTAAAGGATTTTCATTGGTGTCTAATAAGTGGAATTCTATAGGCCTCCTTCCCAGGTGTCACCATTCACTGAATTTTCTCACTAGTAGGGCTGTCAGTCAGGAGAACTCTGCTAAATGTTTGCTTTATGCTTTCAAACTGAATTAAGCCCATTGTGAGGCCAACACAGGGAGGGGCTAGAAGATTGGTGGGCAACAGACTAGAGGGTTATATTGGTTCATTTTATTTCTGTGGCTGAAGACAAAATCTTGTCTAGCACAATTAAATCATCAAAAATAAGAATGACAGTTTTAGGACAAGTTTAAGAAAATACTGCTTTCCATCACTGCACTTTTTCTTATTAACAGTATCTCAGAATAATTTTCTTTCCTTAGACATCTGAGACAATGCTAATCATCAGTGTGCTAGTTACTATGAAAATGAAAATAATTATCCTAGAATACTTTCAAAGTAGGGCGTGAGAGCATGTATTTTTAGTGAGAAAACTGATACTTGTTGGGAATATATAATTTACTGGACCTCGGCCCAAATCAAGAAGCTTAAAATTGTACTTGTGTAGCTTCACTCAAACCAACATGTCAAATAATGTATTGAATATTTATGAAAAGAAGCTATATTTATATTCTTAGATAGTTTGTTCCACAATTTTTCACTTCATGCTTCCATATATATCACTCTGAACTTTCTGTTACCACAGATAAAAATATCTTTTGGCTCTGCAAATAAAAAAGACAATTCCTTATTGTCTGAATGTAATACAGTCTTCATTGTACCATTCAATCCTTTGTTTACTTCTTTTTCATTTTGTGAAAAAGCCTACGTTAGTCCTTCTTAGGTTATTGCTTATTTATGTGTAACAAATCCCACACATTCTAATATGTGGTAAATTCTTTTGATTCTTCCTGGTCATATAATATATTTCCATAGTATCATGTACCATTATTCAGTGTTTATAAGCCTCCATTTTGAATTCAGGATTAACATACTCCTTTTATTCTTTTAAACAGATAGTTTACAACCTGATCATGTAAAAGGTGTTACCCTTAAACTATAGAAGGTTTCTCTGAAGATTTCTCTTGTTATAATGTGAGTTTTTAGAATAAAGTGAGGGACATCAGGTCTTTTTTGATAAAGTTAGGTAGGAGACTGATGCACTAAAATAATTTCCTGGCTAATTTAGTTCTTCTAAATCTTTCTATCTGGACAACCTATTTTCTTTTCTGAGTTACTGATGATGCCTATAATTTTCTACTTAACATCAAAGAGCAGTATTGTGTTATCCATCATATAACAGGACCATATTGTTAACTCACCTTAAGAGAGCTTGTGTTTTAATTTATTTCAACAGAGGGTGTGAATTCCTGTGGAATTTGAGTGAGATGAGTGGACTATGGCTCTGTGATTTGGCAAAGCAATTGGCTTTTATGGGGCTCCAATGTATAGTAATCCTGATTTTTAAATTTTTAAAAAACTGTGTGCTCTCACCAGACAATTAATCAATGATGAAATGTTTTACCAACAGCTGGGCATGGTGGCACACACCTGTAATCCCAGCACTCAGGAGGCTGAGGCAGGAGGATCACCACAAGTTTGAGGCCAGCCTGAAGCTATGTAGTTCAAACTGGCCTTGAACTCAAAGTGAGTTCAAGTCTCAAAAGAAAAAAAGAAAGCACACTGTTTTATCAACAAAAACTATTTTGGGGTATGGTCAATTGGTAAATACTTCATGTTTATGGATGAAGTGATGTAGTTGCACAAGAGCACCTACACTATTCTGTGACCTTGGTGAGCATTGGCCTAAATTGCATCATATACCAAGGTCACAGTGTTAAGGAACCTTGAATAATGTGATGGTGATGTGCGGATGTTTGAGTTTTTATATCTAGGAAGATGAAGGTCTCCATCGATTGCATGGGGGGTTATTTAACACATTTGAAACTCATGTAAGAAATGACTGAGAACAGAAATCAGTAACTGTATATGAAGATTTTCTGAGATTTTGTGATTCAAGCTTCAGAGTGGTCAGGACTCTGGTACCCGACAGGAAGGGAAATTGATTTATTGTATGAATGCTAATATTTATTGTATGATTTTCATTTTTTTTGTTGCCAGACGAGCTGGAATTAATAACTTTATTTCTCTGTAAATATGAAACTTACCTTTCATAAAATGCTGCATTTGAAGGCACAGAATTTGCTAGAAGCTGCCTATCTCTTTCATATATACAGATATTAACAATTTAAATAAAGAACTGTTGTGCCTGACTTGCTTTCAATAAAAGTTGGTGTCTTTGTTTCTGGTCTCTAGACTTTACTTTCTTTAGATTCCCTTCAAAATTTAGTAACAAATATTCCATGTCTGCAACTACTAAGATCATGAATAAATGCCTCTTCACAAAATCAAGAAAACAGCCTATTCCAATTAATTTGCATTATTTTTTTCAGAAGGGTCTTAAAATGATTATATATGAAATTGCAAAGAGTTTCTGGTGGGTGAACATTTAATGTATATGAAAAATTTTATTACTTTTAAAGAAACTAAGATATTGTTTTAGATGTATATAAATATCAACAACTTGAAAGGTATATATTTATCATAGTTTCAGTCATCAAAGACATGCATTTAAACAATGCTGACACTTTTATCATAATTGTTTCTGCATATTTCCATGGGACAGCACTTTTAACAAATTTACAAATGGAGAACAGATATTTAAATTTTTCACAGTGATAGAGAAAACATTTAAAATAAGTAATAATAGAGAATTATGGGAAAGGATGAAACACCAGAGTATAATAAAGAAGAAATATGTTTGGCCATATGAGAAAGGCAACCACTTCTCCTAAAGCCTGAACTTTCATTGCTCTATAAAAACAAGAGGGCTATAAAAAGTAATGTTAAAAGTTACACTTGCCAATATTAAAATATCAGACCATAACATAACACCATAAATATAAAGATCAAAAGTGTACAAGTTCATGAAGGACAGGAGAAGGCTGGACCATATAAGCAATGCAAACAGTGACACAGGCTGTAATAAGAGGGAGAAAACAACCAGAGACATGGTCAAGTACAAAATAAAACAGTTACATCTAGTCAATAACTGCTACCTCAGGACAATTTTAGAAATGAATCTGGAAAGTAATTTAGATTTGTCTAGAAATTTTAAATTATATGTTTGATTCCTTCCTTATGCTAGTTTCAGCAAAAAGCGGGTACTTAAAAATGTTCAGAGGAATTGGAAAAATTTTTTCTCCTCTATTGTTTTAACCTTGTTTTCCCACTAACAAGTGTTTTCAATTAAACAACAAAATTATTCATTGGATCTTTGCTGTCTCTTGTTTTTAAGACCTCTTCCCATAGCGGATATGTATACAATTAGTTAAGGTTGTTTGGAGAGGAATAAAACATATCCATAATCTTTACCTGGAAAATAAGCAGCCTGATAATTTAGAATCTGACCGTTCCTTTAAGTGTGTAAAACAGTATCCAGGGTGAAAGTTCACTTGAAATACTTTCGTGCCAAAAAAGGCCAAAGGCCAGGTATAGACAAAGCTATGCACTTACAAGAGAGCTAAAAACACTCAATGACACTTAAAGATTTTTCTTATTTTGCTAGTAGAAACTCTTGGTTTTACCTTCTCCCAGTTTTAAGCATCACAAACACACACACATAGTATGCATTTTTACAAAAATTGATATTTTCAAATGATCAAGTAAAGTTCAAAATTTTTATTCATGTTACCAAAAATTTTAGTTTCAACAGCTACGGTAAAAGCTTTATTCATATAGATATTTATAGTGAATATCTTTAGGCAAATATCTATTAATCAATAATAAAATAGAAATATATTTGACTATATAAAACCTCTGTTTTCAAAGAAATTATTTCTAATTTTATGGTAATTTTCCTTATTAGGAGCTCAGCATATTTGAAGTTGGCTTATGTGCTGGAAAATGAGAATTTTCATGTGTTTCTACAAAGCAAAGACTCAGATAAAATTGCAGAGGGATCCTAATTGAAATAGTGATGGTTATTTGATTCATTAGGTTGAAAACAAACACATTAAATCCTTTTTGTGTGATGTTTATTTTTTTCTCTTTGAGACACAGGTACCACCACCAAACCTCAAATGCCATTTGCCCTCATTGAGGAATAAAATACTTTGTAAGGCTCATTCAAACTTGTCTATGGAGTATTTGTCAATAAATAAATATTCTTATGCAATAGCTTTGGTTAGTGTTTCTTTTCTTATTTTAATGCAATTTGGCTTGCAACAATTTTTGAATAACCCATGCAACAGTTGTTGCAAAAGCACTATAGTAACAATTGACACAGTGAGTTTGAAAGTCATGGTTAGAATTTTAAATTGAAGGATTCTTCAATTTTTATATCTTTGTCTGTGTTCAAATGGAGCAATTTATCAGCTTTGCTTAAAGACTGAGTGAAGAAGGAGCTGGTATTATTCACAGAAAAGGAACTCTACATGTTTATTTCTGTTTCTTATATGTGGTAGAGAAGATGGAAAATAACTAGATGAGGGTATAGATCCATGCAAGACATGTGGAGCCATGACACTTATCCCTCCACTTAAGTTACTTAACAGAGAGAGAGAGAGAGCCATCTTCCATTTCCTGTCTGTTCAACAATGAAGAAGGGGAAAATGGTTTGAGCTCACCTCATTGCATTTATTTGAGACATCAACAGTCTACAGTCAAGGGGGATTTTAACTGGGCCTGCCTGCATTGATTGTCTATTTATTTAATTATGTGGTAGGGAAAGAAACTTTGTTTGGGGGAAGAAGATAGAATAGTAACTGAATTTTACCTCTTACTAGTGGGATGACCAATTCTTTCATCAGTGCAGTGGCTACTCATTCTTCTTATCTGTTTTAAGGGGAGAATGTGACTTACTGCATCAATGTGGACCACTCAGTGGGAGGGAGCACTGGAGGTACATATTACATAGTGAGTACTCAGTGATGAGTACTCTTTTTTTACCTTCACCTCTTGTCCTTTTCTTATCTTTGTAGAAGATATTGAGACCTTCAGCTGAGGTATTCTTTCTTGTGTTCTGAATATGAAACTTAAATTAAAAATGTTTGAAATAAAAGGAAGGTGCTATCTAGTGTGCTTCAGCCCTATTCTCTTTATAAGAGATCCTTAAAAATCATTTTTAGCTGTTTTAAAAATCAGGATCAAATGAACCAATAAACTTAATGAAAAAATCTGGATCAACTGAGAATATTGAATTCCAGGACACAGCAATTGGTATCCTTGCCTCTGTGCAGTCTCCTAGGCAGTGCTAGAAGGAAGATGGTTTCATGTCTAAGAGAATATTTCCAAATTAGTGTGGTGAAGCTAATGATACATTGTGATCATGGCATGTGGTTCCTTGCATCCCTGTGAGTGACAGCTTATTGAATGTCAGCAAGCAGAACTGGGCAAATTTGATGCTGGTGATAAAACATGGTTGTACCAACAACAGCTGTGTCATGCCATGGGCAAGTAGGGTGGAAGCACTGGGTAACTGTTGAAGAGAGAAAAGAATTGTGTACACTGAAAGGCACAGAAACATTTTGATGGTTTGGTAAGCTAGTTTTTTTGATCAAATAAGTCCTGTTAATATTATCCAGTGTTCAAGTTAAGATGTACAGGCATTTATTTTTTCTAATAAAGGTAATAATCTAAGCCAATTCAAGCCAATTCCAAGAACATAGCCTCCTTCTTTGAGAATTCAGGGCTGACTAGGACTCTCATGTGCCCCATTTGAGGGTTTATTATTATCCTTGAAGATCTATAGTAGCATTTGTATGCTTATTCCAGTCTTCTAAAAACAAAATTTAGAAGACAATTCTGTTTTCTTTTTTCAAAGTTGTAGGTAGTAGATTTGACAATTAATCAATACTGCCAAAGCAAGGCCCACACAGATTCCTAACTGGTGATTAGCTCTTTGCATCTTAGAGGAACTGAGCGAATATATGGTATATGAAAAACATATGAAATATTCTCCTCAAGCACAAATAATATGATGTTCCAAAACAATCCTTTGTGCTATTGACAATATAACTCAATTATAGTTTTATATAATAAGCATGTCAAGGTTAAATCAGTAGGAACATATGCTAAGCAGACTGGAGAAGTTTCTTTTGAGACAAATATTCAGCTTTCTTCAGCTGGTATACCTCACTGTAGGTGTATTCAAAGTATGAATCATCCTTTTCTGAACAAGGTTGACTTTTCTTTGTGGAAACTGTTTTTGGATAAAATAGAGGTTCTATAGGCTGGGGGAGAGGCTTTCAAAAATTTTCAGTTACATGAAGAATTATATGAGGCATCTAGTGTGGCCAGTAATTCAGTTAGTACTTTGGCAATGGACTTGTCCCTCCCCCACCCCCAAATGCCTGTTTTGAAAGAAATTACATCACTTTCTAGTTGTTCTTTTATCTCATCTGCAATTGTAAATTATCTGAATAAAACATTTTAAATATGTCACAAATGTTCAAAAATGTTCCTCCTTCCCACTCTTAGTTAATAGCTCTGCTTTTTTGTAATTAGTTGGAAATTAAAATCAAGTGTTAAATAGGAAGTAAGAACTAAAAATGCTCAGTTTTAGCATCATCTCAACTGAACAAAGATTTGAGAAAAAAATTAAAAATACTAGCACAAATCAGCATGGCCATTCTGCAGGCATTCAACCCCAGAAAACCTCAGGTTTATGTATCTCTTTCTAAGGACTGCTGTTCAACTGGTTTGTTGAGGCCAGTGGAGTGAAACTGTAGAAGATACTGATCCTACCACTAATTGGCTTGTGATTTTTAGACAAGTAATTTGTCTTTGAGTACCAATTTTCTTACCACAATGACTGTAAAGGATATTCTGATTTCTAAGATTTTTTCTGGCATGCTAAATATTGGTATAGGTATATTTAAGATGACAGCTCAATTTATAGCAAGGAAGTAGTTGACTTTCCCACAGATTTGTTATGTTAACATTGGGTTCATATTTAGGGCTTTGCTTTTTCTCCCAATTTGAAGGATCAAGTCCTCCTTCTTTGGCCAAGTCTAGGGAAATTTTCTCTTAGTGCTTCTCCTAAGAGTCGTTTATCTCCTTTTCTTTCTCTTTTATTATGTTTCTTTTATTTCTACTTTGCAAATTTTTAGAGTCCATTTTTAGCATACTTCATCACAGGGAAGTAATATTTTACTACTTTCATGTAAAAAAACCTAACATTTCTTAGTGCTCTGTTTCTATTTTTTTCCAACTCCTCTCATATGGTCCTACATTATAGTATGTTCGATAATTAAATGCATTTTTGGTGATAACAGTGTGTTGTGACCCAGCCTCTTCAAAAAGAAAAGAAATTAGAAGTTATGGGTGTGACCAATTTTTTAAGTACAGATTTAAAAATGAGCTAAAACATTGTCTATACCTATAATTAAATGAGTATTTAGAGGCCTCTTATTTCTCACTTAAAATTGTCTCCACTGACTCAGAATGAGAAAAAAAATTATATGGTAATCTACGTCAAAATTATTATTTGCTATTAGGTAAGGTTATCAATAATTGATCAATACTATTTCAAACTGTTCATTAAACATGCATTAGTCTGGAGAGGTCTCAACAGGGTGGTAGCTTCATGCATCTGTCTAAGATCTTGTAGCTATAAGAATTCTAGCACCTTCTGTTTGATGAAAAATTAGACAATGAAGGACAGGTTCTCATTGCTTATTCCTCTTCTTGTAGGCCAAAAGAGCTAGTTATTATGAAACACTACCATCGTATCACCGTGCTTCTCCACATGTCTTCATTTCCAGTTACCTGTGAGATTCTTGGAAGAAACTTGCAGGATGATTCCAGGACAGGGCAGGAAGCAGGGAATTCCAAAGGTCACTCAGGGCTGAAAATGACTCTAGCTCAATGGGGGACTGTTTCCCTGAGAAATCTTTTGGTATCTCAAATATTGTGACTTGTAAAGATTCTCCATTCAAATGCTATTAGAATTCAAAATGTAAATGACACAGAAATACAGCCACCAAGTTCACTGTTATTTTCATAGCATCCAATGAGTTTTCTAGATAAAAATATTGGCTCCTCTTCAGTCTTCATAGTACTTTTCAAATTTCCACTTCTGATGTGGCTTCATGGAGTTACAAGCAGCTACTTTCACTGTCTTCTGAGAAAAGTTTCCTTCCAAGCATAACAACTGATGCGAGTTTTCAGAAACAATGTGATTTACCTGGAAAGAAAGAGAATTTGGGCATGAACTTCCAACTGGACTTAACAATGGAGATTTAAAAAAAAATGGAACCCCTCCAAAAGATGAGTAATTATATTTTTTTATTCCCCAGGAATTCTCTTGAACTCAATTACAACAACATAAACTTTGGAAATTATTATTTGTCTTGTCTCAAACTAAGTTATCACACCTCTCTAAGGTATCAGGCTTAATTTTTCAGGAATCAAAAGATGAATTTTCTAATGGTATAGTTAGTAGCTATATTATTTAAAGAGAAAAACTCCAAATGATATCTAATATATTTGATGGATGATGACTAACTCATTGGCAGTGGTAAAGAAAAAACACATGTCATGACAGAAAGTATTATGTTCCTATTTTACAATGTACTTTTATATAAGAGTGATATATTTTGTTTATGGTCTCCTTATCATAATTTTTGATAGTACATAATCTGATGTCCCAAAGTCAGATTAATTTAGAAAAGAATAAATGTATTTCAAAGGGTGCTATTGTTGTTTAACATTTATTGAATATCCTAAAATGATAATCTACTTAGAATCTACTTACAGCTTTACATTTTTTAAAATCTATAAATCGTCTCAACCACTAACAACTATGACAAAGATAATCTTATAATTAAAATATTTTAAAATGCTTTGAAAATTTTATAAAAACAGGAATGATTTTCATAACAATTTATTTTAAAGATGTCCCTACAAAAATATCATCACCCTTGCTGGACTTCAAACATATGATGGTAGCATGTGTTCAAAGTTTTGTAACACTTTGGCTTTGACAAAAATCATTTTGTGGCTACAGTGTTCTCACAGTGAGTTGTAAATGGGTATCTAAATCACAAATTTCCCAACCTAAACACATGTGATGTAGGAACGAGTAGGTGGTGAGGCACTCTATATCCCAAATCAACTACCTGTGAGAATATTCTTCAGGGAGGTCAAAACTGAAAGCATTTGGGGAGAGCACAGCTGGGAAGCATCTCTGAAATGCAGATTTATGGGTGGATCATTTGAACAACTAATGTTATCGAGGGTCAAACACACTGCTATACTTTCTTCCTCTATGAAGCTTCTAACATTTAATTCTTTCTAAAAGAAGACAGCTTCCTGTTATTCATATTCTTTTTTCCTTTGAGATTTAGGTTCTTTTGAGGACTGCTATAGTTTGGGTTTTAGTGTTTAAGGTTTAGTCCTGGGTGGTGCTGTTGGGATGTGGTAGGAGCTTGGAGAGGCAGGGCCCAACAGAAGCCCGTAGGTCACTGGGGCACAAACTTTAAGAGGACTGTGGGAGCCCAATCTCTTCTTTCTTCTCTTTTTTGCTTCCTGGCCGTGAAGTGAGCAGTTTCGCTCTACCAAGTGCTCCTGTCACAATGGGCTGCCTCATCAAGGCCCAAAAGATCAAACTGGTCTTGAACTTTAACCTCCAACATTGTGAGCCAGCACAAATATTTTCTCTTTATAATCTGAGATGTTTTGCTATAGTGATGGAAAGCTGACTAGCACAAGGGTTAAGGAGATTTAATATGAAAAACTATTACAAAAGTGAAAAAGAAGAAAGCCAAACACTGAAATAATCTTTTCCATGACCGTATAGTAACATCAAAAGGGAAACACAAGGGAGAAAGCATGTAGGGAGTATGTCACAGAGTCACAGGCACAAACAAGGTAGGGGATCAGCTTCCAGTTTTTGCTGCCTTAACTAAATTACTCTCTTTGCCAAATCAATTTGTTTTTAGGAAGGCCTACCCTAAGTATTTTCTCATCAGAAGTCTTTTTCAAGATTTACTTCTAGAGATGAGGAATGTGTTTCAGTTATTGTCTCTCTTTCTTTCTCTTCTTCTTTCCTTACTTCCTCCCTCCCTTCCTCCTTCCCTCCCCTTTTTAGCAAAAGGATAAAGAACAAAGTAAAATGTAATTTATTCAATAGATGATTATGAATTCCCCAACAGTATGCAAAATAAAAATATCCACTTATATACCAGAAATTTTAATTTTTCTGATAATTTCATAGTAATTATTGCCATTAAAGAGAAAAATGTTTGTCCAGAAGGAATTAAAATATTACAGAGAAAAAACTAGGATTAGAGGTCCCATTTGACCTAGCTATTCCCCTGCTGGATATCTTCCCAAAAGAATTAAAAGAATTATACCACAGCAATATATATATATATATATATATATATATATATATATATATATATATGCCCCCATGTTTATGTGGCACAGTTTGTAATAGCTAAAACTTGGAAACAGCCAAACTAGCCATCAACGGGAGACTGGATGAAGATGTGGTTTTTAAAAAATATAAAATGCAGTAGTACTCAGCCATAAATAATGAGAAACTAGAGCTATTTATATCTAAATGGGTGCACATTGAGGCCATACCCTTAAGTGTATTTACATGTGTAAATGCTGAATAGTTTCTCTGGTGTGAGAAACTGAAAGTGTAAATAAAGATCAAAATGTATAATAGATAATGTGAAATATGAAGAAAAGGTCCAAAGGGGAAGGGAAAGTGGGAGGCACAGGGAAAAGGAAAGAAGGGAAAGGAAAAAATTTGAAAAAATGAAAAAACAGAAACAAAGTCTGTAGCTAGGGAGGGGTGAAGAGATTGAAGGCAGGGCAGGGGAATGGGGAAAAAATAAGAACCAAGATATATCATGTAAAGGTACAGATTCCCAATGAGGAATGTCATCATATTGTATACCTAAGATGTACCAATAAACTTAATGAATAAAAAAATATATAACAATAAAGTCAAATGGATACAGGTTTGGAGAATGCATTATTCAGACCTTGATTTTGGCGCTGAGTAGGAGAAGAGTAGTTGCCAACTGTGATTTTGAAGGGAAGACACCCTAATCAGTGGAGGGAATCCGAGAAGGAAAGGGAGCAGGCAGCTCTGGACAGAATAACAGCTCCCATTATTCAATGCATTGAGTGGATTTGGTGACTAATTGCTTGTGAGATGACAGAAAATTTGAGAATACAATCTTGAAATTATTCCTGCTATCTTAAGATCCTTCACCAAAGCTTATGACTATATATATTCTGTTAAAATATAATTGGGGAAAACTGAGTGAAATTTGAGAATGAGAATAGAGTAGAACAGGTATATTCTGGTAAATATTAAGGACTGAGTTTTGGAAACATGATCCAGTAGCATCTGCTGGTTTCTGTAGTATAAAGATTCTCCTCATGGCAGATTTCAGGCTAACAATGTGACAACATGGAACACAAAGTTGGGAAGAAATCGTATAGTCACCTCTCCTAAGTTGGGGAGAGCTGGTTCCTGCACTCTTCAGAAAGGCCAGGTCTTTGGATCCAACGGGGGTGAGAAAAAGTTCTCTTGTATCGAAAGAAGGTAGGATGAAGAACTGGAAGCATCCTCAAATGCAGAGCTTATAGTAAGCGTGTAGCTTCTTCTTGCCTTTATTTTCTCTATAAGCTTTTAATGATTTCAGCCTATCGGCCTTAATTTTAGCATTGTTTATTGGAGGAAGCAAGTGACTTTTAGAAACAAAGGAAGTCGCTACTGACAAAATAGCCATAAGAACAGAATGACTTCTTTTAAAAATCATTCTTTTGAAACAAAATTTGAAAAGAAAAAATAGACCACAATTTATTTTAAAAAATCAATTTATCTTTCTGAGTGAACTTTTACACTGATTATGTTGTCACAAACATGTTTAAAGCTTCTGATTGAGGCAGCTGACAATGAGGATGTTATGTTCTGTTTGATTAAAAGGTGAATTTTTAGTAAAGAAGAAGTATATAATTTTGCTTACCAGGTCTGGGTGGAAAACTGATGTTGATTTATGCGACCATTTCAGCCCTTTGTTTCTGTTATCACAAGTACAGAGCTCCAGGGATCCTTTATCAGGGCTGGGGGCTAAACACCATTCTTCATGTTTAATAAGTCTTAACCAGGTATAATTAAATTGTTGAAGCTATAGAGGAAATGAATAAAGAAAAGGTCACTTCAGGCAGCAAACAAAGAAACTTTGCCAAACATTTTTGTTAGCAATACTTAAAAACATAGTTGCTTTCGTTTTATTTATTCATTTATTTACTTACTTACTTATAGGTACTGGAGATTGAACCCAGGGCAATTTCACTGAGCTACATCCCCAGTCCCCACTCCCTTAAATTTGTTTTAAAAATTGTTCTCAAGGTCATACTAAGTCAGTTGTCCAGGATGGGCTCAGACTTGCAATCCTCCTACCTCATCTACCCATCGGGTGAAATTACAGTTGTGTACCACCAAGCTGGGCTAATAATAATTTATATTCAAATTCCAGTGCAACCCCTTTCAACTGTGATATTATGGACATTTTTTTACTCAGTCTAATCTCATTTTTTTCATTTTTAAGTCACATAAAAAATTATCTCAGGGTTGGGGTAATGATGATCGAATATTTAGTACACAAGAAGTCCTCAATAAATGTCAACTTCAGTAACAAAAATGATCAGTGCATTACAATCAGTACATATCTGCATATGATGCTCTTTCTGGTGTTTTGAATTCCAGACAACTCTGATGCTTGAAGCATTGAAATTTGTAAAACATCCTTGATTCAGTGTCTGAGCCATGGGTGGTTTCAGGGAGATCAATCACAGTCTTAAATTTCTTTGGTGGAAATTATTATGCCTTCTTGTTTCTGACTATCTAGATAATTGGACCCATGGTTTTGTTCTCTTGTAGGAAACATTAAAACCTTTCTCTTCTGCTAGCACAAGGAATCACGAGGTTGCAGGCATGTTAGCATCCCTCAATATATAGGTGCTGCTCTCAGAGAAGTAAGAATTGACAGTATCTCAAATAAACACTGATTCAGGTAATGGAACCACATTTTCAATCCTTAAAAATATTCTTTACAGTTTTTACAAGCTAGTATTTTCTGTCCACTAAATTTATTGTAAAGTTACTAATATAAGCTAGATATTACCTTGAATATGAACATCTCAACTGACTTAAAAGTTAAAAACTAAAGAGGTTGTTTTTAAGTAGTATATGGTAGTGTTTGATGGTTAAATCTGAGGGCTTTATTCCTTTTCAACTTTTTTGGCTGAATATCATACTCATTGGCTTATTTGTGCCCAAACCAAGTTAACTTCCTTGATATTCCTGTCCCTTACTTATGTAATCCACAAGCGGCAGAAGCTAAAAGTGAGCAATTAGATAAAATGGGAGATGAGATTTCTGGAAGACAGTGGGTACATAATTCATACCTTGGTCTCTTTATACAGACACTCCATGGTTACCAAGAATAGAAGTGGAGTTTTCAGAAGAAACATTGTTGTATGAGACTCAATAAGTCCCTATAATGGTGAATCGTGAAAAAAATATTATTTAATACTTGCATATAATTTAGACTAATTGTGGTGTTGTTTTACAGTTTATGGCTTTATTTTCACTTTGAATTCTTAATAAACAAGTCATTTCTTTCAATTGATTGTTTTGATGTTTTTCCCTTCTCTGTCTCCACTCTTCCCTAATGAATGAAGAGTTCCCAAGGGTTCAAGTTTAGAATCTGCAGCTGAATTATAGCAACAGGGATATTCTTCTAGCAGCAGTTTTTTGAATTAAGGGGTGGAGAAGGAGTATGTTTGAAAATCGAAGAAATATTTCTAAGTCAAAGAAGTAAGACTTAGTAAGCCTTGGCTATCAGTGCAAAATAATTTTTTTCTACTAAAGAGTAATGTGTAATTTTGGGAGGCTGATTGCTACTCACCAACCAGTGTTCCCATGTGCTATATTTGGCACCCAAATGGATAGCTGTGCCCACAGAAGGCAGAGCTGCGGGGAACATATGTTGGAGAAGAAGGTGCGATCACTCAGCTCACCTGCACCACAGCAGGAGGGGTCCCTGCTCTGCTTTCCTGGACCCTACTCCCTCTCCTAGCAGTTCTGCTCTGAGTTTGTGGGAGTTTTTCTGTAGGGTTTTCCATTGTGGGTCAAGGATTATGTGACTCCCACTACTCCCGGAAGATGCGTGAGGGATGGAATCAGAAAATAAATTGCTTCCATAGGATGATTACTTAAAAATATGTTCTCTATTTTATTTGTCATTTTATCTTTGTACGTTATCCATTTTTAATATTATTTTCTTTGTTATTTTTATTTCAGTGACATTTACAGAGCACTGAGCATTAGGTATTGTTCTGCAAGTTTCTTATGTGTTACCTATTCCAGCCTCACTCCTAGAGGTGAGCACTATCATTACTACCACTTCCCTAAAGGTTCAAGATTTTCAAAATTAACACAATTTTGCAAATGATACATGCTGGGTCCAGTGGAAAACTTTGGTACCCACACTTTTACTCTTTCAGTTACTGTTATTGGATTTCATAATTACACTAATTACACTAGCCTTATACTTATACTAGAGTTCAGAGAATAATTCTGGCTTTCTACTTAGTGAAGATAAATTTCTTAAGTAATCAACAAATATGCCAAAGGCTGCAGCTATTGACCATGAGGTAGTCCCCAGCTAAGCATACCTTGCTGTGCCCCTCACAGTCTTCGAGAATGGCTGTGGTGTTTTCAATGGAAATGCATTTACCCAAGGCTACATTAATAAGCTAGGAAAGAATATAAAATATGAATTAAGAAAAACAAAACATTTTAAAGTAGAATAAAACATTCAAACACATTTAGGAAACAGACTATAAAGCTATAATAAGGTTAAAAGGTAGTTAATAACAACATTCCTTAGAACAATATGATTTTATTGGTTGCTAGCTCTAACAGAGACATAATGTAATCTTGCTAAAGTACAGCTTCAATCTGTCAATTTAGGCCTGTGATTCAGCCATAGAGCCAGAAAACAGAGCTTTTAATTAACCCTTGCCTGGGATGCTGAATGGCAAATGAGCAAAATGAGGCATGGATAGTAGTTATTTTCTTGTCTCAAGTGTATCTGATGCATGTATTAAAAGTCAATGCACATACTTGCAATTTAATCAAACCACTACGTTCCTTGGCTGACCCCTCCAAGCTATCTGCTTAGGCACTGAATCATAGATAAATTGAGTCCTTCAAAGAACAGCAGATTCCAGCCGATTCCCTGTCAGAATCTTTCTAATGACTCAAGAGAGCTACAATTCATTACAGGAAAGTCACGAAAGCTAATATTGAGCCAAGTGTAAAGGCACTTTCTGGCAGGCCCCCAGGTTTTTAATGGATTCACAGGGTCAAATATGGAGGTAGCTTTCTATCAGTCACCATTTAATGCAGAAAAATGTTGATTCCCTCATCCTCTTTGACATCCTGGGCAGAGTTAACAAGGTGGTAGGTTAATAATGCAATTTAGGCTTTCCAGGCTTTTAGATGAGGTATGTAGAGATGAATCTATACCCGATGAACCAGGAAGGCCTCCTGAGCTGGGAGGTTGTGAGGTCTTTGTTGGCAGGGACATTATATTTGCCCCTTTCTCTTCAATAGTTCCTAAAAGAGCTATCATTCTAAGATGTTGCATCAAATAAGCTGTGTAGCTCGTAGGGTTACCAAATTTCATAACAAGGTTCCCAGTGTGTGGGTCCTACTTTTATGTGCATAGTTTAGCTTGGAAGAAGCAAAGAGCAACGTCAGAAACCAGAAAATGTAGGAAGAAATGAAATGGAGAGGGAAAATTGCAAGCTTGGTAAAGCAAGGGGCATGTCTCTCTATTAGAATGGGTGAAAACCTTGGGCATAGATGAGCCGAGTTGGGATTGTTGCCTTTCAATAGAAAGGTGGACCCTCAGTGGGACAATGTACTAGGAAAAAGGATTTACCCATCACCCCGGGGAATGAGATTCTTCTTCTAAGTCAGAAACCTTACACCGACATTCATTTGGTTTTGAGAAGAAAATCTTACCACCTTCATTGGATAGGAACCCTCCCAAACTTTCAAGGTACAGAAACAAACATTAAAAATAGTAGCAGATCATTACTCTTTGAGGGGTCTGGCAAAGAAGAACACCAAGCAATTCCAGAGGAACAGAATCTCAGTCAAAAATCTTCAGAGAAACTTCTATTCACAATGTAAAATGACAAATATGGGAGCATTAGTAAATGTGAGCAGTAAAAACATGAAGAAGGATCCAGTCACCACTAACTTCACAGAGGGGAGTGAACAGAAATATGTGAAGGGAGAATACTCTGGGAGTTTAATGAAGGGAAATTATCTTAATTGTCCTCTGGATCTTAGCATACAGGTCCTATATTTTTGGATAAAGCAGAAAATATTCTATCTTTAAAGAAGGTTGGAAATTGGTTCCAACACAATCGAGCAGGTTGTCCTCCAGCGTTCTCGGTGTCTTCCGTGTATTAGTGTTCAGCTTGCTGCTAATGTGCAGAGTATTTCCCAAAGTTACTTTACCATAGAACTCTACACAAAACAACTAATGTTGTTCAGAACAGTGTTAGCGAATCCCTGGTTTAGTTGATTTCTTTGTGTTTGTTTTCTCCAGGCACTGAAAGGAATTGGGTGAAAAGGGACATCTGCTCTGTTCTTATATCCTTCTCCTTCACTTCATCTGAAAATTATTTTTCCTGTCAGGACTTTCACAGGAGAACTATTTCGCTTTTGACATATATGATCTATGAAGTGCAAGGAATTGTTATTCTTCCTTTCATTATGAATAGTTTTAAAATGTTTTCATTTTCATTTTTAAAGAATGGTATCCATAATTTTATTCTAAGTCATTTCAACTTCTCCACATCCTTTTCAATCAGGCAGTGTATAAATTTTCAATTTTATATATTAAATTATTACATTTCCAAACTCTGGATGTGGGCATTCCCTGCAGTTTATTACATAATTGTTAAATCTTAGGCTTACAGGCTGTTTGATAACAATTTAATCCAGTGAAAAACACTTCATTGGTGAAGTTCTTTTATTAGTTTCAAATAAGACATTGTTTTTATTTCTTAAAAAAAGAACTTTCATTGAATTTAAATTCCTAAGTACATAGGGTGAAAAATACATGAAGACATGGAGTATGAAACAGAAAGATGAGGAGTTTATTTTCTTAGGACTTTTAAAGATTGTTTATTAAAAAATACTCTAGTTATTCTTATTCTGAATTAAAAAATAGTAATATACCTCCCTGATGGTTGCTGCAAGAGGGAGAAAATGACATATTTACTAACATTTATCTAGAGAAAGTAAAAAACATACAAGACAATAGAAGGAAAGGATCTGTTAAAATCATTTTTAAAACAATTACAGCATTTTGATATATTATAGTCCAGGGATCAGTAAAGCCTATTTCATTATGACAGTTCTTCAAAAACTTCATGGGAACTCTTTTTCAAACTTATTTTATTATAATTTTAACATATTACTAATGCAACTTAATCTGTTTCGGTGTGATATTTCTGTACATGTATACTTTGCCTTTATGCTTCCAACTCTGTGGAACTGCTCAGTGGTGCAGCAGAGCTAAAAGGTAGTTTTATAGCTCCCCCTGGTGGTTACAGTTTGGTAATGTTCTAGCTGAGATTGTGTTAGGAAAGGGAAAAATTTACTATGGTGAGTTTTTTTTTCTTCCTCTTTCAGGGATGGGATTAAAAATATAAACTTATTTTATATATATATTTGACATATTATAATTGAACAGCATGTACAAATCCAAGGCATTCTTTCTAATTACTTACCTAAGGTAAAAAATACTAGGTTGAGTCAGCTGAAAGAACTGCTATTCTGTTTTGACCTATAAAAGTGGCAATTAAAAAATGCATTATGTTATATATAAACAAGCTACATAGTTTTATCAGTTGAATTTGGTAAATCAAAACTAATCTTCAGACTAGTTTCCTGTCTTTAATGCCCTTCCTGGATTTCCCTAACAAGGCCAAAGGAATGGCTTTGCTAAGTTTTTGTTGTCAGGACCTCTGATAGGCAGGGAGAGTGGTTAGTTTGTATAACTCACTTTCTAGAAAGAACTAGAAATGCTTGGCCTGAAAGAGCAGACTGACTGATGGTCATATTTGAGAACTTGAATGAAAAAAAAAAGAGGAAACTGAAAGAAAACAAATGAACACTTATACTACTCATAAATGAGCCTTAAATTAGAAATAAAATATAAGAGATTAAAAATAACCCTAAAAGAGGAAGAACTGATTAAGGGTTATTCACCCTTAAACCTGTTCCCTGGTACATTTCTTCATGTCTTCCCATTCTCTTTAAATGAAGCTCACTCCTGGAACAGATTTGAAATGGCTTTTCCCCAGACTACCTCTTCCTTGAGTTTCTCTTAGCTTTGTACTTATTCAGCACATCTAATTTAGGACTTTCTCTTTTCATACCTCTTCTAGTGCTCTGGAATTTTATCTGCCATTCCCTGATAGTTTCTGTTATTTTCAACCCCATGCCTGGCTTTGAAATTTTAAATTAAAAAAATCCTGATTAAATTTTGTCCTGTCATTACTTAACCCTGCTTAATAAATTCCCACTCCATCTAGAGGAAGGAAAGAAGGAAGGAAGGAAGGAAGGAAGGAAGGAAGGAAGGAAGGAAGGAAGGAAATAAAGAAAATTCCTTGCTCTACCTGCAACGACCTGCCTGACCTCTCTCCCTCTTCATCTGGTGTCGATTTTGCCCCCTTGACACCCTGAGGACCTTCATCTTTCCTTCTGATCTTGAATGCCCTCAATTTTCACCTGTCTTAGAAGTTTGCATGGATTACACCCTCTACCTAGCATTCTTCTTAGAGTTTGGCTGGTCCTGAGGGACCTAGGCCTAGGCTTCACAGTGTCCTTCTCAGGGAGGATTTCTTAGCTTAGAAGGATTCATCACTTGAGGTATGTTCCCTAAATGAGAACAATTACATTTTATATTTACCCCTGTTCACTTCTTTATTATCTTTCTTCCCTAAGTCGACTCTAAATTACAAAGGAAGGGATCAAGGGATCCAGTCTACTTTATCACCCTTCAATCTAGTTCTGAAATATTTATTGCCTAGTCTCCTAATAACACAGTCGGTGTCTGTTGAATGAATCAGTGAACATGACTGCCTTCCTCAGGTATACCTCCAATCAACTATGCTTTGCCCGATTGGCAATAAATACTTGGTATTTATTTATAATATAATAATTCCTTTTTCCACACATTTTGGAATGTGGTTTTATGTGTTGAATTGTTATTTTTATGGAGCAAGATTTTAAATTGCCATGTGAACTTACCACACCACTAGCTCTCACTATGGGAGCTTTTAAGTCAGGAAAGACATTCTCCAAGTACCACTGGAAACTTTTACACTTCAGTTTCTTCCGAAGCTCCTTTTGCTGGGTGAGGTTGCCGGCCTCCAGTCCCTGGTCTATGAGATGGGCCCCGTGGCCGTAGAACAACTCTTTGTACTCATCCAGCCAGACCTCAGCAACCCGCACCAGGTTCCGTTCCACTGTCTTCATGCGATCTTTGGGGAAGGAATATGGATTGTCACTCCTGAAGATGTGGCCCACTCGGGAGCAGGGGATGATCTCAATTTCACCACCACACATCCACACCTGGAGCAATGTAACAATAAGCATCAATTATCAAACAACAGTTCAGGATCATGGGCAATTAATAATGACTAGAGACCACCTGGGGACTGTTTTTTCTTGTCTAATGTAGTACTTTCAAGTTAGAAAATACTTCTTCGCTAAAAAATAAAACTCAACAAGTTCATTTAGTTATGTTTATTGTGATGGTGAGCTACATAAACTTTAATAAAATAAAGTTTTTTTCTTTATTAATTTATAATGTGGACCTTTTTTTGCCCTAAAGAAATCTTTCCAGAATCCCAATGTGTAAAACATATGAGTTCCTGTTGTGGTTGAAACAGGGAAAGGTGAATGAGTGTCAGTTTGCTCACCTTCCCCTTCTCTCATCCTGGGGAGATCCATAAGTCTTGTGGCCCACAATTTAAACACCACTGATCATTAGGAGTCTGGAGACACACCCCTTTTCATGGAGACCATCCATCCAACCCCACAGGGAAGTAGCTGCTTTGTAGATGCTTCTCCTCTTGCCATTGCTAAGGCTTTCTTAGATCCTGATCAATGATAGTGTAAGTGACTGAATCAAGTTCCCACAGGAGCCGCACTGTGGGACACAGCTGGTCTGTTGTGGCCTGCTCCAGAGGTCCTCTTTGTCACTTCCATCATATACATTCTCCAAGATCACACATTAGGGTCTGATTCTAGGACTTCCAACATAGTAGAGAGATATCCCAGGGAAGTTATTTTGTATCAGGTATCAATCCTATTGCATTTACACTGAAAAGCAAGAAATCATTTCTCCTGTACTTGAATGTGCAAACAAAATTGTGAAATATTAAGAAACTCTAATAAATTTCACAAGGGTCATCAATTCTTCCAAATTTAATAAGGGCTATGAAAAAAATAACTCATAGACCCTAAAAGTTCTGTGAAATTTACTCTGTGTTAGTTACATATCTGATTATATTAGTAAAATTAAACCAATTAAAGTGATAAAATACAGTTGTAAAGAAAATTTGAAAATAAAAGCTTGGTGATACCTTGAATGAAAGCTCCATATTTTCTCCGCCCCAAACATCAAGGCCAGGATCATAGGTTCCAAGTTCAAAAAAGTAATTTTTATCAATAGAAAATAATCCACCGGCCATTACAGGGCACCTGCATAAAGAAAAGATTGTTTTTTAAACTTGCATTTCACAGGAGCTCAACTTGTAGCATGGGTCCTTGGTGCTTTTGCTCTTGAGTCAGAGGCAGTTTTGAGTGGCTGTGGGGTGCAGGGAGGTCTTGGGATGCAATCAGGAATAGACCTTCAGTGATGAGTTTGCCAGGTTCATGGTGGCAGAGCTTGATTATGGTCAGCAAACATCATGTGGTCTGAAAATAAGATTCTTTTCTGTCCCAACACTGATACTGACTTTCCAAAGATGCTCTTTTTTTTTTTTTTTTTGCTTAAATTCTTTTATTGGTACATTTTAGGTATACAATACATTTAGATTTATCATTGGGTGCTTGTACCTGTACATGATGTAACTTGGTTCTTATTTTTTCCCTATTACCTGTGTGCACTTCACCCCCTCCACCCTTCCCTATTTACATAGAATTTGTTTCCATTTTTTTCTTTTCTCATAATTTTTCCTTTTCCTTCTTTCCTTTCCCCTTCCCCTTCCATTTCCCCTACCCCTTTGGACCAGCCATAAAGAATGAGAAACTGGAGACATTTATAGCTAAATGCATGCATATTGAGGCCATATTCGTAAGTGAAATAAATAGGACACACGTTTGTAAATACTGAATAATTTCTCTGGTGTGAGAAACTGAAAGTGTAAATAAGGATTAAACCGAATAATGGATAATTTGAAATAGGAAGACAAGGTTGTTCTTTTTAACAAGACTTACTCAGGGTTAAGCTAGTACCAGGCATTGTTGTATTATCTGTTTATTGGCTTAAATTTCACAAAAATCCTGGGAGTGTGCACCATTATTAAGAAACTTCACCACATGCAGAGAAGATGAGAAACTTTCCCAAGGACAATAGAGAGTAGATCTACATCTGACGTTACTCTTAGTTAATCTGTCTTGATTCTGTCCTCCATCATTCCACTCTACTGCACCCAACTATGGGCAAATTGAACTGACAGCCTGCTGTGTGGCAAGCCCTGTGGAAAGCAATTTATAAATAAATTCTGATTTAAGTATCAGAACAATTAATAGTAGCAACTTCTATTAGTCCTCCTATAAAAATCAAACAACAGAGTCAAGGTAGTTTGAGTTTATAGTACTAGTAAGTTGTACAGTTGAGATTCAAAGGGGCCTGACTCCAGAGCCTTCACAGCTATTATTGATCACATTTTAGGTAGAAGTTGGAAAAAGTATTGATCACTTCCCAAGGTAGTCACCACTCAGCCAGCTGAAAGTGGTTTCTGCGGAGAGCCTGCTTTGCCTTTAGGATGTACAGTACTCTCAAGGGTAAGATAATTTCTGACTCACACCCCTCTCCCCTTCCTGCCACTTATGTACCTAATTCTACTGTGTCCCAATCATCCCTACCAAATTATCCGGAATGCATTCTCTTCTTAACATTATGCTGAATATAATTTCAACTCAATCACTAAACTGACACTATAAATGGGTCTCTGAAAAAAGTAGAGGTTCTTTAGTCTTGGGATCAGAAAAACAGTATTAAATTTAGACAGGTCTCAGATGGACCCAAATTGTTCTTCTATTTTTTGTGTATCCCTGGGAAAAAGATTTAACTTCTTTATATCTGGATATCCTCATCTCCATAAATTGGAAACTACCCTTCTCATAAGGTTAGGAAAGTTGAATGCTTGGCCTTCAGTGAGCAATAGATGGCAGAACTTCTTCATTCCCTGGGGTATCAACTCTGGAAATATCAGACCAGGCACTGGAGAAGTGATTTACTGAAGGGTAAGTTTGGGAAAGTAGGCTGCAGTGCACAGCTTGGGCTGGGATTTCTCTGGGGACTTAACTTGTGTCTGCTCAAGTTCTCTCTCCAACGGGGAAGAAGAGCCTTCTTGCTTAGCTGGGGCTGGCCGGTGCCTGTCCTGAAGCTCTAGACTCTGGGAAAAGTGACAAGACTTGCCCACTTTGGCTTCAAGTCCAGCCAGTGCTCTTGAATTTTCCTTCTTCAGCAATAAAGTCAGTATTCTAATTTATATTGAGCTTCTGTTTCTATTGCTTAATTTATTCACAGAATTTGGCACCTGTCCCATGGAGAGTAGGATTTGACTGTGAAAGAAAATCTCACCATAGCTATTATTATAGTGATATTTCTATTACTATTATTTACTCTTTCAATTTTTACTCGTTTATTTAAGATTATGTGTATTTATGCAGCACATTCAACTAGTATTTGTTTCTTAGGTTACAAAGCCCAGGGAACAGGAAGTGTCAGTGTATTTCTCTAAGCTCATGGCTGAATAGTGTTCAGTTGGCTATTTAAAAATGAGTTTGGGTACTGGAAAACTAATTTCTCAAGAGAGCTTTGCTTTAGTAATCTATTGGCTAGACTTACAAGTCTTGATGTTTATAGAATGATAGGTTAGAGCCATTTGGTGAAATTGCTTTCTATGCTTTTACAAAAAGACATATGACTCCTTCCTAGTCTTAAATTTCGCACACTTACCTTATTATATCAGTTTCTTTAATTCTGTTTTTTGCAACAACATCTGGAGGAATTGTTCTCCAACCAAAGTTCATGGGCCACACAAAGACGCCTCTTTGAAAGTTGTCCACTGTCATGTAACTAATTCAGAAACAAACAAGCACAATGACAAAGAACAAAATGCCACTTGAGATTATATGCATTTTTATATGCGTCATCAATTGGCTCCATGACTTATTCATGTACAGAACACTTACTTATATAGGTGATTTTAGATCATCACCATTTAGCAGTCATTCAAGAAAATTTATGAGTGCTATTTGTATTTGTGGTTAATTGGCTGGATTGCTTGATTTTAACTTATACTTTAAAAGATAACATATTGCCATTTTTGTATGTGGTTCTAGGGACCTAACCAAAGGCTTTGGACTGAGCCAGATCCAAAGCCTGTTTTAAAAAATGTTTAATTTTGAGACAAAGTGTCACTAAATCACTAAATTATCCAGGCTGGGCTGAATTTGCAATCCTCCTGCCTCAGCCTCCCAAAGGGCTGGGATTACAGGCATATGCCACCATGCTGGGCTGTATCCTGGTCATTTTTGAGAAAGAAATAAACAATTTAGAAGTACATATGTGTTTGTCACAGAAGGGAGAAATAAAATTGAGGAAAATAAGTATCTTGGAATTCAGTTGAATATAAAGGGGGATGGTTTGATAATCAATAGTGGTACTTACTGGAATTTAGTATTAAGAATTAGCAGTAACCAAACAGATTATTGGATTAACAAGCTCTAATCACAAGATATCTATTATATATTTTTATTTATTCATGAGGATAAACAATACATTTCTTACACTTTTCAAAAATGTTTCTATTAGGACCAACACTTCTTACTGCTTGTGGGTAAAGATGTACTTAGAAGAACAGATGGATATGGCAATCTTACCTCATATCCTTGTCATTGATGACTTCAATTACTGGACAGGCCACTTTCTTTCTGCTTAAATAAACTCTTTCCAGAAGAGGTTCTAACCAACCAATGTTACATTCCACGTGAGAATCTAGGAATGTCAACACATCACCTAGAGAGTACAAAAAACGTTTAAATATATGATCTACCGAGCCCACACTTTATGCACAGAGGCGTTGGGGACTACTCCAGAAATGTGGTAGTAAGAATAGAAATCTTTTATTCTTACTGAATTTCTGGTCCCTGCAATCTCATTCTATAATAATATGAGGAAATTCTGTACATAAGAGTTTTGATGGGTAAGTATCATCTGTGCTTAGAAAGAAAAGAAAAATAACCGAAAACTATTTAGACTGGGAAGCAAGTCTCTGAAGGGATGTTTAAGATTTGAGTTGTTGCTAAAGTTTCTTTTAAGGAAGGTGGGTACCATTAATCCTGAGTTTGGAAGGTGTGGGAATTTATTTTTTTGAAAACCAGAGGGACACTGAAATTATAATTTTAGCCACAGCAATGATAAAAAAAACCCACTTTATGTAATGGGGCCAAAATGAATTAAAGTAGAGGAACTGGGAAGAGCAAGAGGTGTTGTTAGAAGTGGTACTGGAGAGGGGAGAGGGGAATGGCGAGTTGTTGCTTGATGAGTAAACAGTAGTGTTATTTTGTGGGATGAAAAGAGTTCTGGAGACTGGTTGCATAATATTGTGAGTGTACATTACTGAACTTACACCTAAAATGACTAAGGTGATCAATTTTATATTGTGTGTATCTTGCCACAGTTTATAAAAAGTGTTACAAGACAAAAAGAAACTGAGAAGATAGAAATATTTATAAAAAGATTGTATTTTCTGTTGTGTGAAGTAATGCTCTCACCCTTCCAATGAAAACTCAGTAGCATGCATGATGCTTTAAATGACTTTATACAAGGGGAGTGTGTGTGTGTGTGTGTGTGTGTGTGTGTGTGTGTTTAATAATAACTTGTAATATCAGATATCAGGTCCTGGCCCAAATCTCCTGTGATCTCTCAAGGCCCATCCACAAAGAATTATGGAGTCTCTGCCTGGCAGACCTCAGAAGGGAAGGCTGCCCTTCCACCCAGACTTAGTGCCAGCCAGGGCACTTCAGGCTCTTCAGGGTTTGCAGTCAAGGGCTTGGTCCTCCCTGTCTCCACTGGCCTTGCTCTTCCGCGTAGCTGCACTCCTAGTGCAGGTGCCCCCCTTCAGAGACCTTTCCCAGGCCACAGCCTCTGTCAAGGCCACTGTCGTTGGAGATGGAGTTGGTCTTGAGCATACTTTTCTCCACTCTGACTCAGAATTCAGTGCGCCATCAACAGGGAGATCATCCTGATCTCTGCTTTGCTCTGCTTCACCGCACAGTGGCATTCCATGGCAGAAGCCAGCCCTTTTTCCTGTTTAATTTCTTACTGACATTTTTGCTGTGGGCAATTAAGTCTTAATGGTCACCTTCATTTTGCCTCACTATTTTCATTTGGTTACTCCAATACCCAGCTGCTCAGCTAACATTGGTTATTATTTATTAAGTGTTTAGTCTATCCAAAACTCTGTTCCACGCATTCTACCTGGTTGTCCTTCTTATTCCTTACCACAAACCTACAGAATAAGTCTGATTTTTATTTCTCTTTAAAAGATAAGGAAACTGAAGAACAAAGAAATAGAGTAACTCTTCCAAGGCTTCCCAGCTAATTAGTGCTAGTGTATTATTAGAAAAAAAGTGGCTCATCTCATAGCTTATGTTCTTTAAAAAATGCAAGAAAGAGACAGAACTGTGAGTATGATATGTCATGTTTACAGAAATTTATAAACTGTCTCTCAAAGAGTGAAATTCAGTATTATATTAATTACCTGGTGATCAAGGGAATTTTTGCATGAGGATAAAGATCCAAATTTTAGGTGAAGAATTCCTGCAAAGTCTCTTTAGACAGAAATAACTGTGCTAGGTAGAAATTTCCCCTGTAGTTTCCTCTCTTGAATATATTGGTTATGTCTCCTGATCATGCAGAATGAGTCCTATTTTTAGGGCATTAGAGCTTGTATGATAATGAAAGACTATTGCCCTTGTTCTGTTACAGAACAGTGTGTGTATATATATATATATATATTCCCCAAATTCACATGAAATCTAACTCCCAAGGTGATGGTATTTAAGGGGTATTTAAGAGGCCTTTGAAGATGATTAGATTATGAAGGTGGGGCCCTCTTGAATAGGATCAGTGCCCTTATAAAAAGGTTCAAGGGAGCTTGTCAGCCCCTCTTTCCCTCCTGGCATGTGAAGATATAACAACAAGGTGCCATCTTTTTTTTTTTTCTTTTTTCTGTAATGGGGATTGAATCCTGGGCCTTTGGACTGAGCTATATACACAGCCCTTTTTTATTTTTTATTTTGACACAGGTTCTTGCTAAGCCATTAAGTCATCCAGGCTAGGTTCCAACTTGTGATCCTCTTTTCTCAGCCTCCCAGACTAAGCCCCACCATGCCCAGCTAAAGGTGCCATCTTTGAAGCAGAGAGTGTGTCCTTTCAGACACTGAATCAGCCTAGCCATTTGATCTTGAACTTCCTAGCTTCCAAAACTATCAGCAATAAATGTATACTGCTTAAAAAATTACCCAGTCTGAGGTACTTTGCTACTGCAGCCTGAACAGACTGACACACCCATTAGCATGTCCTCTTGAATAGCCCTCTCCCCAATGGTGGGAAATTTCACAAGAATGTCTAGATGCATGGGGCTTATATGTGTGGCTTGTGAAGGTCACTTGGCTAATGGCGTACAGTCTGCTAAATCCAGTCTTCTTTCTCTCACCACTCCTACTCGTGGTCCACTCAGACCCAAAATTTAAAGACCAGTCTCTACTGCACCACCTATCCCACACCCATAGAGGTCTTACTGAGTCAGAGGAGCTTGGATCAACTTACTTAGTCCTCAAGGACAGCTGGGATTGTCTACATTCACTTCTTGCCTGGCCCAGATGTTCACAAAGATTCTTATTCATTAGTTGCCAGGACCTGAGGGAATCCACATTTGCCCAAAACATAGTCTAGAATTTTAAACTGTTTTATTTGGGGGAGGAGCAGTGCACTGCTATGCTGAAATGCCAGTGCTCCACTCCCAGACATTTTACTTTCAAAGAAGATCTCAGGACTATGATAGATAAAAAGGAATTCTTGCTATCACTGTCTTTTGCCAGGATTTCTCCTTGTGGTGGGTGCTGTTTGTGGATGTTGTATGCAGTGTTGCTGATACTGAGAGGTGGAGAGGAACAATGGAATTAGGATGATTGAAGTTATACACAACCACCTTCATCCCAGCTCTTCTTTTCCTAGCAAATTACTGAACTTTGTTGAGGTCTGTCTTATGGGGATATTTCTAAGTTCTCTCTAACACCTAATTTTCAATCAATGGGTAGTACTGTTTACTTTTTTTCAATGAATGTTTAAACTCAAGCTCAGAATAATTAATCCAATCTCGATTGGAAATTGGCAGGATTTTCTGTTTCCTAAAACTAGATTCCAGTAATGCTGGATTGTTTGCAGATGGGTTTCATTGTAACCCTTTTTTTTGCTAACCCAGTGCTAAACAGCTTTGGCTTCTTGTTGACCATGGACTCCCTACTTATATTTAGTTTATCAACATAGTATATTGCTGCCAGAACCAATTAGTACTGGACACCCTGTGAGTACCAAATCCTTGATGCTCAAGTCACATATAAAAATGCCATAATATTTGCATATACAAGTCCTCTCATACCCCTTAAAACATCTCTAGCTTACTTATAATATGCAATACAATATAAATGCTATGAAAATAGACCATATTGCTTAGAGAATTACAACAAGAAAAATAGTACATGCATGTTCAGTGCAGATGTAATTTTTGTTTTGAATTTTTTCAATCCGAGATTGGTTGAATCCATGGATACAGAACCCATAGATATGGAGCCTGGCTATGTACTAAATATAAATTTTTATGTAACTATTTGTTCATTTATTTAAAAAGTAATTATAATTTATGATAATTTACAAAGGAGTAGGGCTACAAAAAATTGTAGATTAAAAAAGTTCTTTTCAGATAGTCTGAGAAGCATCTCTCCACTAGGTAATGATAGTCAGTTAAGATATCTAGCTAGAGTTTTTCAGACTGGGATTTGTGATCCTTTATTAAATCATCAAAACAATTTGGTGAGCCCGTCCAGAATCCAAAATCACTAATGATATAGAAAAGAAGATAAAGTCCACTGAATGTGTGATTTAATGAACTGTCTTCTGGAGTTACATAGGCAAACATATACTGGAGTGTGATGTAAAATTTGTTTCTTAACATGAGTCATTGTCAAAACAATTTGAAAGTTACTGAACCAACCCAAAGCTGAGCTAATGTTCACAAGGGCATTAATGAACATCTAAGAAACAAATTTACATTATTCATTTTGATCTGTTGCTAATTTCAAATAAATTATTTTATGGATGCAACCATAACTAACTGCAAATGTTTTTAATGAAGTTTTTCTGAAGAGGGCCTCCCATATGGTCTCACAATTTGGACTGTTCTGGTGGTCACTGCTAACAGACTTAATGCTGTGTGCAGAGAGAAATCTTTCTCACAAATAGTTTTGGTTCTGTGTTTGTCAGCTATCTCTACATGAATATCTAGTTGTCATCTCAAATTTACATGGACAAAATCAGAACTCAACTATAATCCCAAACCCACTCTCCAGTGGTGGCCCACCACCACCAAGTTGCTCAGATTCCAATCCTAGAGTTTGTATTTGATCCCTGTCAGTCTTATTCTCTTCACATCTTATTTCATGACAAATCCTGTAGGCTCCAACTTCATTATATATTGTAAATTGGACAGCTTCCCCCGGCTTCCGGGGTACCTCCCCAATCCTGGACAACTGTAACAGTGTTCTAATTGATTTCTCTACCTCTTTTCTCATCTCCCTAATATCTGTTCTATATGTGGTTGCCAGAATGAGCTTTTAAAATGTAAATCAGACCACTTCACTCTCCTGCTTTATGTTCTTCATTGGTTTCATATTGTATTAAAAATAATGTCTATACTCCTTAAATGAGGCACACAACTGTACAAAAATCTGCTTTTGTTGGTCAAAATAATATCATAACACTCTCACTAGTCAGCACCCAATAGCCATAATGAACTCTTCTCTTTACCTTGAATATATTGAACCCATTTCTGCACTAGGATATTTGCATTTCTTGTATGATATGTCTGAGAACATTCTTCACCCATATCTCAGCTCAAAAGTTATCTAAACTATTTCTTGTGTACCCTATTTTTGCATCATTCATAGCTAATTACTTTTCAAAGGAAATTAAGCATGGAGTGTCATTTAATTTTTACAAATATAGGTTTTCATTAAGAATCTTAGCTATCACAGCATCATTTTCAATATGATGAATTTGTTGCTCACTTAAAATTTCTACTGCAAGAAGAAGAAAGTTGTTAGCAAATTAAGGGAAGAAGAAGAGCTCTAAAGTGAAGGTCAAGTTGCAACAAAGTGAATCTCCAGTGAGCAGACAATTTACCATCAGAACATGCTTGAGCCAAAGCAAGTGAAGGTCAGAAATGCCAGGGCTTCCAGGGTACAGAGTGAATGCTAAATGCCTGGAGGTAGCACAGTGTAGTCCATAAGAGCAGACTCTGGAACCATGGTACTTAGGGTACCAATGCTGGCTCTACCACTGACTAGCTGAGAAAGCTGGGTGAGTCCTACCCTCACTGTGCCTCTGTATCCTTATCTATAAAATGAGGAAATGATTGTACTTGTCTCCTAAGTTATGGTGAGGATCAAATCAAAGGGGTGGGAGGAGACACAGGGAAGGAGAGAGACAGGGACAGGAATATTGCTTTATTACAAATGAAGAAAAGCTTTTTTAAAAAAGTAGAAAGAATGGTAGAAAAACAATTTGTTAGCCCCCAATATGAAAATTGACTTGAGCAAAGATTATTAGTGGATGCTGAGCCACTGGGTAAAATGTAAGGAAATCGATATATTCTCATGGATTAAAGTATTAATCCACAAACCATTTTCTACTCCCAATGGAAAGATCCAACTGTCAAGATCTAAACCAAGTTTTTAGTATTACTAACAAAGAGATAGCCTGCCATTATGTAACCTGATATGAAGCAATAAGAAGTACAGAATTCTTATCATTTATGAGTAGGATTCTATACATTCCTCATATCAAAAACATTTATCCTCTGGATAATTCAAGGAAACAGGAGATTTCAGAATATGGTCAATTGTACCAAGCAAATGGCCTAGACTATTGAATAAGACAAAGACACAATAATACGCTAACGCAGTATATGGAGTTGACTACTCTAGATTGAAAGAATAAGGAGATTAGATAATTAAATGGAGCACATGAAATTTAATTATATACTGACTTTTAAAAATCATTTTGGGAAAAATTAGAAATTTGAAAAGGGTGTTTATAGGTGTTATTTAGATATTAAAATTATGTTTATTTAACAGAATGTTCCTATTCTTCAGTAATCCCTATTAAATACTTAGTAGTGCAGTACTATAGTATCTGTAAATTTATTTTCAAAGGTTCAGAAAAAAAAACTTACAAATATGTGTGTGTCTGTACATATGTGTGATGAAGCACATATTTTATACAGCTATACATTATAATTAACTGATGCATATGTGGGTGCTCATTGTGTTATTCTTTCAAATTTCCTTTCTGTTTGGAAAACATTTTAATTTAAAGCAAAATGTAGTGAGAACAAATGAGAAGTAGCTTCTTACCTGTTGCGTTCTGTGCTCCTGCCAGCCTTGCCCTTATTAAACCATGTCTCTCTTTAAGGCGCAGAATCCGAACTTTTGGAAACTGAGACATATATTTGTCCAAATTATCTTTTAAGTAGTCTATATCAGCATAAGGATAAACAAAGAAACACTTTAGTTAACTAGGTCTGTCCCAGAAGTGCTTCTGAAATGTGAAATTCCAAAAACTATGACATTGCTACAGTTCACTAAATTTTTTTCCTTTGGCTGTAATTTGGTTATGTGTTCATTTTCTTAGAAGTATTTTATCTGGATTCAATATTCTAAGTCCCCTGATTTCTCTAATCCTAGGGGAAAGGCTAAGCAGTGTGTGCAAATGGGAAAACTTGGGAAAGAAGCTGATACAACTGTAGTTGGTTAAGGCCACTGTCATTCCCTGCTCTGACATACCCTCAATCAGGCTTTTCTTCTCCTTTTACACAGAGCAATCCTGCTAAAGGAGCATTTTGTGTGGGGGGGTGGTTAAGGATATATTTATATGGCTTGTGGTCACTTCTGGGTATAACTAAGCTATTAACATTTCTTCCAAGTAGGAACGGCTTCCAGGAATATTTTGTGGCTCACTCGCCTACTAATTTTATGTATATTTCTTCTTTTTTTTTTTTTTTGGTACTGGGGATCAAACTTGGGTCCTTGCGCTTGCGAGGCAGGCACTGGAAACACTGAGCTAAATCCCTGGCCCACTATGTTATATTTCCTAAAAAGGACCCTGAAAATTATATAAGTTTCAAATCCCACAAGATATGGATCTGCCCTCATAAAGAGATTTTCTTTCCTGGTTAGTAATGGTATAGTTAGTCTTTCTGTTTATGCTTTTAAAGCCACCTCTTAGAGTTTTCAGTTAGTTTTCCTCTGGCATTCTAAATGCTTCTCGAGCTCAGTATGATTATGGTAGGAATTGTGAGGCTAAGAAAACCACTCAGATTAGCATGCCACAGATACAGGCCAAGCTGCTCTAGTAATGTTGCTATTCCTTTGCTATTTTCTAAAATTAAATGCAATGGGTTACATTTTGGGACTATGTAAAGTGGTTGTCACTAGACCTGGGAGATCAGCTATATATACAAACTATTTGACAACCTAGTGAGATTCTTCATTGTGGTAAACAAAAATCAATCTAAAGATCATAGTGGACTCTGCTTTTGAACTCTTATGAAACCATACCTCTTTGGTTCCCTTGGAAATTTGTCTTCTCCTCACTTAATTAAATATACAATCTGCCTTGCTGTTGAGGAAGAAGCTATAGGACTTCCATTTTGTGGCTTTCCTAGGAGCTTAAATCTAGTTATTAAAAGTGGAGAATCATTCTATTAATTGTGGGATATTTACTTATTAGATTCCATGAAAGAGATTTATGAAATTGTAGGGAATATGTTTTGGACTTGGGCACTTCAAAACTCACATGTGCAAGGAACTATCATAAAAATCACTCCTACATTGCAAGAAAGTCACAGCTAAGTGGAAGCAGAAGACAGCTAGTTGGATAAAGCTTCAGATGATTTTTTTTTGGTACCACGGATCAAACTCAGGACCTTACGCCTGCAAGGCAGGCGCAGTGCCACTGAGCTAAATCCCCATCCCAAGATGACTTTTAATATCCCACAGATAGATAGGCCATGTTTCTAAGGCTCCATTTAAAAATGTTTATCCTTCATCAAATTAACATATGTTTTTGCTATCCAAACTACAATTGTCTTCTACCAAACTTTGACTTTTTAGGAGAAAGCCTGAGTGGGTTTCTTACCTTTGGTGCTGAAATCATCTACCAGCAGAATCTCCTTGATGAGGTGTAGGGGGGAGCGATTGAGAACACTGTGAACAGACCTCAGGAGAGTGGACCACACCTCATCTACAAAGCACATGATGATACTGGTGGTTGGGAGCTCATTGTGAACTAGCTGCTCTGCACACCTGGACCAAAATGTAAATAGAGCACAAGGGATGTGCCAGTGAGATCCACAACATGGTCTGAAAAGTCACAGTGTCATTGTACACACACACACACACACACACATACACACACACACACACACACTTTGTCATCTACTTGTTTGTCTTTTTTGCCTCTCTCTCTCTCTGTCTCTCTCTCTCATAATCGGAAGTGGTAAATGCTATAAAGGACTTGGCTAGACAAAAGTGCTTCTGCTGGAAACATGATACTGCAGCTTAGGGATAGGGGCTTTACAGGTGATCAGACTCCATTTCAATCCATCCAGATTTCCCAGATCTTTACATTCACACTTTGCTTAATTCCTCTATGCCTCAGTTCCTCATCTATAGTATGAAGTAATGATTCATTCAGAGTTTTGCAGTTGCTGAGAACCCACATAAAAGGTTCAGCATAGTCTCTGACACTGGAATTCACTAAATGGTAGCTATTGTTGTTGTTATTAAAGTAGCAGAAGAGAGCATTCTAGGTTATTTAATGTTACAAAGTAGTTGATGGTTGCCTTCATAACTGGCCACTGACATGTGGCAGAAGACACGTCCTTTCTTCTACTCTGCATGTGGATGCACTTATGGCACACTGTAGATGGGCCAAGTAATTAAATGCTGTGCAGCTTCCCTGCCCATGTGAAGGCTCCTTGTTGAGATGCACAGTGGCCATAGCTGAAGTCATTTTGCTGACAGAGAAATGAGAGCAAAGCTGGTGGGAGTCAGGATCCAGGTGGGTTGAAATTGATCTTGGGTTTTTCCTATGCTCTGAAGTTCATGCTACCTCACAGTGGGCATTCCTCTATGTCATGCCTGCATTACTGTTGCCAAGGCAGTGCCCAGTGGAACCTCACAGAGTATGCCTTATCCTGCTAACACAGGATAACAATAAAGAAATAGAATAAACGTTCTGCCTTATTTTGATTTAAGTGAAGAGACTAGTTCATGATTATACTTTTAGTAAATGGCAGAGCTGGGACTGAAACTATAGTCTACATTGACTGCAGAAGTAACCACTCAGGAACTCTTAATTCACAAGGATAAAAACAGCTGAAAGTGGATGCGGCATTTGTGAGATCTGAGCTTCTGTCAAATGACATGGCATATTTTGGGGCCAGAGATTTAGCTCAGTGTTTTTGCCATCTGCTGTGCAAGTGCCAGGACCCAAGTTCAATCCCCAGTACCAAAAAAAAAAAAAGGCATATTTTGCTTTCTCAAAAATTAAGACATAGGCAAGAGTTAAAGCCATAGTAAAACAAATCACATATTCATGGCATTTTATGTACAGTTGGCAAAGTATTGTTGTGTAAATAAGTTAATTCAATATTCATAACAATTGCTTGAGGTACATATTATCATACACTTTCTCAAATAGAGCAAAAGAAAGTGTGAGAAGTTAAATGACTTACCCAACATCCTTTACCTAGAGAGAAGATATATGGGAATGTGAATCAGTACAGTTTGTATTCCACTGTTCTATGATTATTTTCTGATTATGAGTTTTGGAATCAGATAAATATTTAGACAAATTTCTGTTCTCTCTAATTACTGTCATGATCTTCAGAATTCTTCCAGTGTCTGTCTATTGTCTCATATTCAATTCTGTCTTTTGTCACATAAGATAACATTCACTCTTTTGCTATGTACGGTGAGAGTCATAGGTTCTAGAAATTAGAAAGTAAATATATCATTGGAGGAATATTTCTACCAGTTTTCCTCAAGTATTCAATAAGTTAAAGTGTGAAATATGCTTTTTTTTGAGAGAGGATATATGTATTATTTCTTTGAAATTGTGGGCACCCTCCGCTATTCTTCAGCCAAAGGTAGATTTACTTAGAATTTCTGGAACTGTTAAACTGTCACTTTTTTTCTTTTCTTTTTTTCTTTCTTTCTAATTTTTTTGTTATATTTTGGAGTTTCTTTGAAGTTTATCAATTTACACATTGAAATTTATGAAAATGTTTATTAGTAATATCAAGTTATGACACAATATTGACACTCAATTTTAGAAAAGAAAAATAAATAGAAAGATAAAGAGTATAAATGTAAAGATTGCTAAGTATTAAATGGAAAAATTGTATTTGGTTGCATGATTGTCAATATTTGAAGGACAATTTTGAAAATAAACTTTAACTCTTAAATTTCTTTTATCAGCCAAAATATCTCTAATGTTAGGGTCCAATTCTCTGGTTCTTTGTGATGAACATCAAAATACCGGTGTGATGAGACTAATGCTTCCTGAGGAGGGAGTGGATGGCACTAGAGCACAATGAAGAAAGAGCCAAAGGTAGGTGTAGAAATGGAGAGTGTTTTTGTACATCATTCTAGGAGAAAATCAAAAAAGGAAGGCATTGGTGGGAAGATAGGTGAAATTGAGGGCAAATTTGTCATCCTTGTCCCCTTTTTCTCTGGAATAGGAAGGGACAGAATCATATTTCTGAGCTTCAGGGAAAGAACAAATGGAGTTGAGAGACAAAAAGATAATGATAAGCTTATCAATGGAGCAAGATCTCTTTCCACTGATTCACATTACAGTGGCAGTTGACACAACTGAGTTCAGTCATTTTCCATTTTTTCCAGGTTGCATGAGAAGTTACACTTTCCTAGTTTTCATTCACCATTCACTGGCTTTCCCCCTTTCAATCTCTTAGTTTTTACCTATTCTTCTTTTTCTCTAAGCAAGATTCTCAGATGCGGATCCTGGATTTTATTTTCTTCTAGGTTATATTTCACTATAGGATCCCACCCATGCCTCCAGTTTTAAGTGTGATAATGTCTTTCAAATGTATAGCTAGGTGAGATTTTTCCTGGAATTAGTTTCATACATTCAACAAACTACTGACATTTCCCCTGCATATTTCATGGGCATCTTAAAGTAACTGAAGTAGCAATTTTTATTTTACCTTACCCACCTCAACCAATTCTTCAGCAATTCCCCACTTAATTAATGCAATTATCACCTATCTTGTTGCAGCAATATAGATGCCATTCTAGATTTCATCCTCTTTTTGATGCTAAGTAAAATCAACCTATCACTTTCTGTCCATTGTATTGCCAGCATACACCTCAACTCCAACTTTACACTGTCATGTTCCCACTCAAAGCTGAGATATTACCATCTTTGTCCAGGATTATTATCCCCCCCACCCCGCCCTGCCCCCAGGGATCAAACTCAGGACCTTGTACTTGCCAGGTAGGCGTGGCGCCACTGAGCTACATCACCAGTCCCTGTTGAGGATTATTGTTAAATTGTCCTGACAGGGCTGCATTTTCATTCTGCAGAATTTACCCCATTCTCCTGCTTAAAATCTTTCAGTCAACCTGTGACCATTAGTCAAGATCTGTTAACTTGACTGGATCAAGGAATGTCCAAGGGATTAGTAAAGCACAATTCTGAGTGTGTGTGGGCCTTAGACACATGACCTTCCTGGCCAATTTCCTGTCTGGCACTATTCCCCTGCTCTGCTTCCTGGTCACAAAGAACTAAGAGGCTTTGTTACACCACATCCTTCTGCCATGATGTTTCTATCTTTGAGCCAGCTTACTATGGATTTAATCCTCTGAAACCCTGAGCCAAGATAAACCTCTCCTCCTTTGAATTGTGACTATCAGGTCATAGCAATAGAAGAGCTGACTACAGTCCCTCCTGAGTGAAGTAAAAAAAAAAAGAGTCAAATTCTTCACTATAGCCTAAAATCCCCCTGCCCACCCATTTTTCAACTGGCTGTCACTTCACTCCCCATTTACTCCATCTTGCCTTCTTTTGTTGTTTTCTTAACTTTAAGCATTTTTGTACTTTCCACATACCTTAATGCTGGCTTCCTTTGTCTGTTTAGGTATTAGTTTAAATGCTGTCACAACAGAAAGGCTTTCTTTGGTTACTTTATAAAAATTACCTGTTCTTGTATTATTCTCCATGACAGTCACCCACATTTCTGACATAGCATTCATTTATGAGTTTTATTTTTTATATCTTCTGCATCCAGAATTTTGTAAATATAGGTTAAATCTACTTTTTATTCCCCTATAGTACCACAAGCTTCTAGCTCAGTTGCAAATAACAAATATTTGATAAATATATATTGATTGAGTAGATAGATGGATGATGGATGGACATAGAATGGAGATTAAATTTAAAACTTAAATAGTGAAAGAAGAGAGATTTCCCTTTGAGATAAGAAGAAAAAAGGTGATAATATAAACAGAAAAGTTTATGTTTATGGGATGAGATGCTGAAAAAGAACCTTTGTAGCTCATACCTGAGAAAGGTTCTTTGCTAATGTGATAGTATAGGGGTTGAGGAGGATGAAGACTATGGAGAAAGTCAATATGGTAATGGGAGAGTGCTAGCCAGTTACAAATAAAAGGATATTTGAGAGAACTGAGCAGTTTTCTGAAGTTGGAGATGCCTAGTTTTTAAAGAATACACGTTGTATGTGTTCCACTAGTACCTAGGAGCCTGGGAGTAGGAGGTGATAAAGCGTGTGTTGGATTAATCCAACAAGGGTCATCATAGCAATGAGGTACAAGGAAAAGGTTGGTAAAGATTTGGAAGATAAAGTGGTTAAATGTTCTGTCACAAGTCTGGGTTGGAAAAGGGGAAGTAAATTTAAATTTAAGGAGTTTAACAGCCTGAGTGAAGTAAGCAAAGGGAAGACAACAGTGACTTCCTGTGACTTCATGTCTCTAATTTTATAACACAAATTAATGAGAAATACACACTTCACACTTAAATGTTCTTTCAACATTTGGTGCTGAAAAAACCAAATTAGTTCTAAAAAGCAAAGGTCAGTTACACACATTCTGCATGAGCCAATAAGACTAGCTGTGAAATCCTGAGCATTACTTTATGGTGAAAATTGGGTTGGCTTTAGAAAATATCCAGGGAGGAAATCAAATACATTGGGTTGAGTTAATCAAATGGGTCCATATGGATGACTCTTCTTATATTGTGAATCAGTAGCATCTTGGTCTGT